CAAGATTTCTCCCCTCCCTCCCACCCTCTTCTCTGGCTGAGTTCCATGTGGCTTTCTCAGCCTCCAAGCTATATGTCATCCCCCTGCTCTCTCACCACAGGTGAGGAATAGCATTCTGGCTCCCTGCCCACCAGCTGTCTAGTGTCAAGTCACAGCCATGCAGGTCTGAAATGACATGGAGCCTTCACCTCTGACTGCTCTAAAAACACCCTAACTTTATGGCATTGCAACGGTACACAGACGTCTGGTCTTATACAGGTGGTAACCTGTGCCAAGGCTCCATCATGTGCTTAACTTTAAGAATGTGCTTGAGATTTCAGAATGTTCTTAAAGTTTATCACATTCTCATTTGCTTTCCTGAATTGGGGTCTTAATACATTCTAGTGTAAATTGTAAGTTGTTTTGTATTGTTTCCGTATCTTTATAGGGCATTTGATCAGCAAGGTCTAAATTTTGGGTCAGATTCATATTCTGTCTTAGGCATCTTATGTATTTTAAATGGATGTATTTTTCCCTTTTGTATCCCACCAGGAAAGCTGCTGAGCACCTGCTCTCCATTTTAAAACATTTTTGGACCTGAGACTGCTTTTACACCGTCTCTTTCTGTCCTGACCTGCTGTCAAGAATAAAACCTTAAAATTAAAGGGGAGAATGGTTTCCTATTACATAGTTGAAGATATGATTCATTTGCCCCTCTCTTCTCTATGTGCTAATGGCCATTACTGAAATTCTTCCTGCCCATTCCATTGCTTAATTTTCCTATTTTGCTGCTAGTTGGATTCCTTGCGTCATTTTAGAAATTCTGGTCAGATTGGTGTTTGTGCTCTTGAAATACTTTTAAAAATTGGTTTATCCCTTTCTTGGTTCTCATGAGCTATTCTACTTCATCCTTTATTTTACTCCTTTCTGAATTTCCTCAAAATTGTTAGCACCTGTCAGGCTTTTCATGTATTCATCTAGAGGAAGACTATGGTGTATTAGCTGTCTACCTAGTCCCCTGAATCTATATTCAGGAGCCTACAGGTTTTCGAAGATTTGAATGTGTATCTCCTCTCTTGTTGTTCATGCTTGGATTTGAGATGTAGCTTAAAATCCAACCCAGGTATTTTATTCCTTTTTTAACGTGATCTTATATTACCACATTTATTAGCAATTCATGGGAAATAATGGGCATTAGTCCCATTCATGTTGATTGTTATTGCATGAATAAAGCCCTGTGCATCAAGATGAGATTATTCACCTTAATATATAAACCTGATTTTGATGGAGCACAATATAAGATAAACACTTCACTAATTCTCCAGTAAACACATCTCTGCTTCATGAGAGATGTAATCATACCAATTCAGAATGTTGATTTTTGGTCCCAGAGTTTCTTAGTCAAGCTTGGACGTGTCTAATTCATGACTGGGGTTTTTTTAATTGGATAATGAAAACTGTTGCTCTGACAGTTTGGTTTATGTCAGAGAAGAATTGCTAACTAGCCTTTAATTGACTGGCATAGACCCAATTTTGCTATCTCTGTCCTCGGGTTCCTGTCACTGAGTTGTATAGGTTTTAAAGAAACCTTTCTTCAAATGTGAGCAAATTTCTTTGATCTCTTTATACCCTTCTGAACAGACACACTTTTAAATATGTTAGTACAATTGTCAAACTCATTTCTATTTGGTTCCTCCACATTATGTAGCAGGATAATATTCTATTAAACTCTGTTAAATTCTATTAAAGATCTTGTGACAGGTATTCACAGGTATTCCCTGTTCCACATCAACCAAATCTACTACAGTACACGCTTAATCATCCAAACTCAGTGAGGTGAAGCATGGCATCGTGGGTTCATCAGAGGAGCAATTGTTTGAGGCTCCCAGCTCATCCCAGGGAAGGATTCTAGAGAAGTTAAGCCCCTGGCTCCTTGGACTCTGAGAACTGGCCATTTAGTCACTGACACTTCTGTGGCCTCCTCCACTGACCTTCTGGATTAGCTTCTGGGGAGGGACTTGCCCTCTTTAAGGGGATGGAGTGAACCCAAAGTCACATACAGTAGAGCAGGCAGCTCTTGTTAAACCAGGGGTGGGCAATTATTTCGGTCGGGAGGGTGCTTACTGAGTTTTGGCAAGCCATCGAGGGCCACATGACAGGAAGCCAGGGGCAGATAAATATTAATTTTCTAAATTTTTTAGGGGCCCTGCAGGCTGGATAGAATGGCCTGGCAGGCTGTATTTTGTCCACCCCGTCTTAAACAAAAACAACAATATTACTTTGTTGGTCAACAGCAGTACAGCAGGCAGAATCCTTGGGCCCAAAGGTTGGGTTGTTTCCTCAGCAGTCTTTGTCAAGTAACAGCCTGTCTCTAAAGTCTCTTAGGCTCGTCTCATTGTGCCTTTTCTCTCTCTTCCC